GGAAGCTTAAGAATAGTCTAGGAAAATGAAAGGACTATATTTTAAAACTTTAGCTTCTATTTAAAAGTCTATAATTTATATTAATTTATAATAAATCTGTTTTCAGTATTAACGGGGAGGAGGAAGTGAGAAATATTTTGCTACAGTTACTTTTTTCTTTACAGTCATCTAGTCGTTTTGTAAGATACTTTGATATTGAGTAGATTGCTATCAAAAGAAAACAAAATATGAAACATAATAACGTCACTGCAAATCTATACTTGTATTTATATAACATTTATAAAACTAAATATTAAAGTGTTAAGGGAATCACATTTAGATGGTAGATATAAAATTTCTAAGACAATGTTCCACACATGCATTGCCCTTGAAGACCTTCCAGTCAGACAAGATGTGAAGATGGAAGACAGTGATATTCATCATTTTGTCCCTTGTAGGCCTAAGCTAATGTATGTGTTTGTCTTAGTTTATAACAAGAAAGTTTAGAAAGTTAAAACCAATTTAAATATAAAAAGCTTACAAAACAAGTATATAAAAAAGAAATTATTTTTCTATAGCCATACAAAGTATTTGTTTTAAGCTGTTATTACAACAGAATAAAAAAGTTGAAAACATTAAAAATGTACAAACTAAAGCAGGTAAAGTAAGGTAAATGTATTATTAAAGAAAATATTCTCATACATTTAGCATAGGTTAAGTATACAGGCTGATAAAGTCTCCAATAGTGTACGGTAATGCCTCAGGCCTTCACATTCAGTCACCACTGACTCACTGAGCAATTTCCACTCCTGCAAGCTCCTTTAATGATAAGAACCCTAAACAGGTATTCCATCTTTTAATATTTTATGCCATATGAATGCATTACTTTTTCTATGTTTAGATTTATTTAGATGCACAAATACCTGCCATTGTGTTACCTGCCTACAGTATTTGTGCATATAAATAAATTATGGACATATGCTTTACAGGTTTGTACCTTAGGAGCAATAAGTATGCCATGTAGTCTAAGTGTGTAGGAGGCTATACTATATATTGTAGATTTGAGTAAGTATGCTCTATGATATTCACACGATAAATAACCTAACTATACATTTCTCAGAACATATTCCCATCATTAAGAGATACATGACTTTATGTAGAAAGTATAAAAGAATGGAAAAAAAAACCCTCCAAGGAACTAATAAGAAATTATAGCAAGGTTACAGTATATGAGATTAATGTGGGAAACTCAATCACTTTCCTATGCACTAGTAATGAATAATTGGAATTTGAAATTAAAAGCACTATCATTTATAATAGTCCCCTCAAAATAAAATAAAGATCTATTTGAGGAAAATTATAAAACTCTGATGAGCAAAATTAAAACATTAAAAAAGGGACAGATATTTCATGTCCATGGAAAGAGTCAATATTATCAATATGTCAATTTCTCCAAACTTGACCCAAAAATCAGTAAAATTCTGATAAAAATTCCAGCAAGTTATTACATGGATATTAACAAACTGACTCTAAAGTTGAATGGCAAGGCAAAATATTCCAAATAGCCACCACAATATTTAAGGAGAAAAACAAAGTTGGAGGAGATCACTATCCAACTTCAAGACACTATAAAACTAGAGTAATCAACACAGTGTGGTGTTGATTAGCAAAAGAATACCCAAAAAGATCAATGAAACAGAAGAGATCTATGGAATAGAAAAACACACAATACAGTTAATTATTGTCAAAGAAACAAAGGCAATACAATAAACAGTCGTTTTAAAAGCAATGCTGAAACAATTGGATATCCACATGCAAAAATAAATAAATCTAAACACAAATATCTTAAGCTTCACAAAATTTAACTCAAAAGTGTAGTATCCATAGAATTATAAAATTCAAAACTAGAAAACATAGGAGAAAACCTAGATGATGTTGGGTATGGCAAGGACTTTTTAGATACATCAAAGGTAAAATCCATGAAAAACAATGAATAAGCTAGACTTTGTTAAAATTTAAAATTCTATTTTGTAAAAGTCAATGACAACAAAATGAAAAGATAAGACACAAATTGGGAGATAATATTTGCAAAAAAAATGTCTGATAAAGGACTCTCATGCAAAATATTTTTTTAAACTCAACAATAAGAAAATATAAAACCTAATTTTAGAATGGACCAAAGACATTAACAGATACCTCACTAAAGAAGATATACAGTTGGCAAATGCATAAGAATATTAAAATGCTCCATATCATTTTTTTATGAGGCAAATTTAAATGAGATGCCAACTACACATTTTTTTTTTTTAGAATGACCAAAATGTAGAACACAGATAACACCCAAAAGCTGGTGCATTTGGAACAAAGACTCTCATTTTTTTCATGAGCGGAAATGCAAAATTGTACAGCTACTTTAGACAATAGTTAGGAGGTTTCTTACAAAATTAAACATACTTTACCATTCTATGTTGCTCCTTGTATTTATCTAAAGGAGTTGATACCTTATGTTCAAACAAAAACTAGCAAATGTATGGTTATAGCAACTTTATGCATAATTGCCAAAACAAGGGTATACGGGAAATACTTTGACCTTCCAAAAACTTTTTTATAAATATTAATTAACTTATTTATAAGTAAATCCAAATGTATTTTAAAATATTAATTTTTAAACTATACATTAGTTTACTCTCATGCCTTTGGAAAGAAATTAATAACTTAGGGAGCCTGGAAAAGTTGTCTCACAATATCAACCCAGCTAACATGACTTAACTTCTGAGAAACTAGTGACTGTCTTCCACTGAAATTCTCACTGGTACATCTCATCTACATGAGCCGTTTTGCCATAAATTCAGGCTACCTCTAAGAATTCTTCAAAAAATAATTTCAGTAGACTCATATGTATGACTAAAATAATATATTCTTCTGACTAGAGAAGCTAAGTGGTTGATCTTCAACCTATGAACCAGGAGGTCACAGTTCCAGATCGATTCCTGGTCAGAGCACATGCCCGGGTTACAGACTCAATTCCCAATGGTGTGTGTGCAGGAGGCAGCTGATCAATGATTCTCTTTCATCATTAATGTTTCTCTTTCTTCCTCTTCCTCTCTGAAATCAATAAAGATATATTTTAAATATAATAAAAATATATTCAAACAATAACAATATTGACATGATAACTGAAATGTAACAACTCACTTATTAATGATGTTATTTTCACAATTTTCCACTGTGTTCATAACTCATTTTGTGTAATATTGTTTCAGAAGACTGGAAAAAAACCAAGCCATGCTTAGAGAAAGGGAGTTACATTTTATTAAGGGGAAGGCCAGAGAAAAATGTGCCTTTCAAAATCTTCCCCACCCCCCAACATGAAGGAAACCTTTTCTATTTATACTTTTTCTAGCTCTTTTGTCTTCCAAATTTGGAATGCAATTTCTGGGCCTTCTGGGAAAGAAGGCCTACACGCTGGGAAGGGGCCATGAGACCATATCTCAAGGCCTGGTCTAGTGTCAGCACTGACAACTCTGTCTGGGGCATAGTCCATGACCTCTCTAGAATGGGAGTAGTCTTGTTTTTCTTGTTATTTAAGCAAACAAGCATTTGCAGAAGCCAAAATAGCAGGATTAAAATTTCAAACAGCAGTTTTTATATAAGATGGATGCTTCAATATAATGATGGGGGAAAAACTGGTGGTGAATTTTCTTTCTATAATTTTGTTTCATAATTTCTCAGTATGACATAAAATGTCTTATGACATTATTTATGAACTTCATACTTTTGTTCATTTCCATTCTCTTTGCTTTTGATTGGCTTTAGATTTGATACTGTGTATCACTGCTGCAGATATAGAAGTTCAGTGAATACTTTAAGTTATATCTGTCCTAAAATGTGGTCTATAGGTTATGTACAATAATCTTATCTAAGGAGTTGGTAATCAAGGCAGGATTAATTAAAGGGCATAAACATTTTGGCATAGAAGCTGTGAGGCGGTGTTCTGATCTAATTTATACCAACTTCAAGCTGAGTGTCTTTTTGCAATGTTTCTTCATTATCAAATTAGAGCATATGAGTATACAACTTGAGACACATATTCAGACACTACAAAGTAATGAGTAAAGAAGAGGCTAACTAACCTGGGGTGTATATGATCACTAATTTCTATTAGAATCCTCAAGAAAGGAGGATTGTCATCTGAAAGGAGGATTTTCTTTCCTTAGATACAAAACATGTTTTCTGTGTATAAAAATGGTTGAGTTGGTGATTTGCCAATACTCCTCCAACAAATCTAAAATTAATACTTGACTCTGTCCCATTTAAAGACAACAAATTTTCCAAAATTAATACTTAGACTCTGTAGGATTTACTTTACCACAAAATAAATGTGTGATATTGGTAATGTGTAATGTATACTTCACATTCTAAAAAGAGTCATACTGGGTATGAATTACTCAGGGAATTCCTACTATGAAAAAAAGGATGAAGTAGATTGGAATGGTCTCAGGAAGATAAGGTAAACTGATATTGGTGGAATTCTTCAACAATATGAGTGAACAAAAAAGCATAAAAATCTAGGAAGTGGAAATATATTCCTGACAGGAAATTTGAAAACTATTAAGATGTGATTTGGTGCTAATATGATGGGGTTAATGTATCATCTGCCATTTAATTGGAGGAAAACTGAATATAAAATTTATCAGTACTTGGAGTTGTTAAATTATTTGTGAATTTAATTTTTGTGAATTTATTTTATTGATTCTTATTTGATTTAATGAAATTTATTTTATTGAATATATTATTTTACACATTACTGTTCTTTCATTCTCCAAATATCTTTTCCTCCTTTTCTCCCTCTCTTTCATATTACTTTAAATTACCTTTCCTTTTAAAATTTAGACAAAATAAGTAATCTAGAGGGCCTAGATTTCTTTTTTTCTTAATAGCACATTAGAAAAGTAGTGGCACATTTATTTTCCTAACAAACATATATGCTAATAATATCCTCCCAACTTTATATTCTCCAGGAAGACCCACTACGTTATGTGAAACTATGGGGAAAGCAGAAATTTGGCTATTGAGGACATATTGGGATTTTGAATTTCCTCGTCCATACTTACCTAATTTTGAGTTTGTAGGAGGATTGCATTGTAAACCTGCCAAACCCTTGCCTAAGGTATGTCTATTACAATGGAGGTTTTTGTGTACCATATGATAAAAATGCTGATTCCCCTCTAAAGGTCACAGTCTAAATAACAGAGATGTGCTGCTGGGTATCTTCAGTGTGCTACTCAAAATGAACTTTCCAAGTCATAGGGGTCCCTTATGAGTGATATTACTGTTTCGTTTGGACTTTACTTTGATATTTAAGCTGAAGAATGAAGCGATTTAAGGAGCATGTTAAAAATATCAGTGGTTCAATGGCATGGGTACTAGATCGAAGAAACAGGAAACTAAAGACTAGGAGACTGCTGTAGTCTTCCTAATAAGCACAATGGAATTATGAACAGGGACACTTCCTATGGTTGTTTGAGAGATAAATAGGCTTTTGTGAGAACTATTGGGTAGATTCCACAGGATTTGGTCAGTAGAAGTAAATATTGCCAGAAGACATGGCTTCTTGGATAGCAGTGGCCTTTGCTGAAATAAGAAACAATTAATGAAACACTATTTTGAGATGACAATTATGAGTTCAATTTCAAATTCACTTTAAGGAGCCAATTGAATTTTCAGATATAGATTTCTAGAAGTTGCATGAGTAATATAAGGTTTCTGTCCCAGCAGAGAGCATTAGAAATAGATTGGAAGTCATCAACATAAAGTAGAAGTCAAATGTTGGTTTGGTTCTTTAAGACCATGATGTAAGTTTTTTTGTGGTTTTTTTTGTCATTTGTTTTTTGAGTAAAAAACGAAATTATATAACACATTCCAAAGTTATACAAGAATAAATCTAGACTGCCAGAAATGTTGGAAGAAAACAATATTGGGAAACAAAGGAGAATAATAGGTGAGCAGAGTAATAACTATCTTGTATTTAACTATCTTTATCAATAGGGAGTTAGGAAACACTCATTTGCTTGGGTTGTAGGTAAACAAAACAATCTCTGTTGAAGGTTGCAGGTGAAATGGTGTTCCCAGTAGAATTCTTGATTTCTGCTTCGGCTAAGGTGCATATTTAACTTGATTCTGAATATGGTGTTCTTACCAAACAGTTATAGCTTCAGGAAAACTCTATTGAGTATTACAGGAGAGAGTCAATCAATATCTAAATAAGGGACATGACACATTCTGTGGTTTACTACGTAACACTTTGACACACTATTTTGTTTATTACAATTTCATAAAACCAACTCAAATATGTTTTACAAGAGGGAAAAATTTTTCCAATTATTAATATAGATATTTGAGCAACATGAATATCAATCATGGCTTATATCTCTGAAAAAATAATTAAACCAGTCACTGAATAAACAATAAAAAAGCAATGAGAATCAGTAAAAATCAAGAATCCAAAGCAGTTAGCTATGTAAGTCTTAATGTGTTGTGTGTGTGGTTGTGTGTGTGTGATATATATTATTCAATCATATGTTTAGGAAGATGAATCAAAATGGTAAAACACCAATTCTTGGGACTTCGGAGATATTCTCCTAAGGAGCGTGAGCCCCTTTAGTTTAACTAAGCTAAAAATAGCAATCTACTTTTGTGGCATCATCTTTCCCCTGGTAATTTTACTAGCCTTATATTGAGAAACATCAGTGATCACAGATAACCACAAACAATTACAAAGAAAATGCATGATAATCTCTAGAGGATGACATTCACATAGATTACAATGTGCAAATCCGAATCCAATACATTGCAGTGTTCAACCTGAACAGCTGTAAGCAATGAATTCTATTTTGCAGAGGAATTTATATTTTACTTCTGTACTAAGCTCAAGTTAATGGCATGCAGTTAGTGTCACATTCTTATAGAAAGAGAGTGAATCACTGTTTCATAAATTTATCATGATTATAGCAGACGTTTGACTCTGTTGTCACCTTTTAAACAAATTATTATATATCCCTTTTCTTTAAAGTTCTATTTAGCCCTACAAATCAGGGAAAGAATAAATATCAGACAAATATCCTAAACTCCTAACAGAAAGTTAGATGACATCATTAATAATTTATTGACTGTAAACTGGCATGCTGAAAAATGTTAAAGCTTAGTTCTAAACCTCTTTTTAGGGGCTTCCCTCCAAGAAATATTTTTATGAGTTTGCAAACAACTCTGTTGGTTCATAAAATTAAACTTTGGGAGTAACAGTTTCACATACCATGGGAAGATTTGCCTCTTATCATCTATTTATTTGGTACCAGGGGCCCATTGCATGAATTGGTGCACCTTGAAAGGAAGTGTGGGCTGCAAGGCTGTGGTGGGCATAGGGAAGGGTCTCGGCCCATCCTCAGAGGCCCTGCGTGGCCCCTCCTGCCCTAGTCCCCTATCTGCCTGCCGACAGCCCCACTCCCACCACTGCTCACATGCACTGACAGCACTGGACCTGCTCACACTCACTGATGGCACATAGCAATTGGGGCCAATGCCAGCAGAGGGTGGGAGCAGGACCTAAACCATCAGTGGGTGCAAGTGGGGACTGCTGCTCCTATTGCTTCCAGGAGCAGGGGGAGGTTGAGAGGCCCGGAGGGTGGATAGAGCCAGCAGCCGCTGCTCACACCTGCTAATGGTGCTGAGTGATCTGGGCTGGCACTGAGCACTGGCAGCGGCTGCAAGCAGCAGCTTTGGCATTGGCAGGTGCAAGCACCCAGTGGGACCACGGTATGGGGAAAAAATAATTTTCAGTAATCACCAGAGGCTCACCCCGATGACAGTGACCAGCACCCCGCATTGATCTGGCACCCCAGCTCATCTGCTCCACCATCCTGCTGCAGCTGACCACTGCCATGTTCTGCATGCCCTCTGGTGGTCAGCACACCGCATAGCGACTGGTTGTTGTTTGATGGTTAGATTGTTCCACCATTTGGTCTATTTGCATATTAGCCTTTTATTCTATAGGATGACGCACATAGATTACAATGCCTTTAGTTGTAATCACTCATTATATATTTAAGCCATAGTTTTCAGACACATTTTTGTCTCTTAAAGAGACTAGCTGGTTCTATGTGGTAGAATACCTAACCAGTCTAACAGTGTCTCGGACGCTGCTCTTCACCCTGCCTATTTAGAAACTAGAGGCACTGGAAGGCTCCCTAGCAGCTGCTGGCTGCTGGCTAGGTACTCCCTCCCTTCTCCCCACCACCTGGCGCCACCTGTGGCTGCCATCACTGGCCAGGATCTCCTTCCCTTCCCCCAGTGGCCACAACCAGAGGGGGCCTACCCCCTTCCCTTGGCTAGCCCCACCCCCTGGTCAAAGTCCAGACAACTCCCTGTAGAGGAGACCATTTTCATACTATGCTTTTATTATAAGGATGTGTGATTTTCCCCCCTGGTGGTCCCGTACTTTTATAATAGAGAAAACTTTATCTCTACAGGAAATTGAAGAATTTGTCCAAAGTTCAGGTGAACATGGTATTGTAGTGTTCTCTCTGGGGTCAATGGTCAGAAACCTCACGGAAGAAAAAGCCAATCTCATTGCCTCAGGCCTTGCTCAGATTCCACAGAAGGTCAGTACAACCTATGATCCTAGTTAGCAGCCACCTTGCCAATTGGAAAGTGCAGCTAACCAACAGTACTCTTTCCAGGAGAAAGCTGAAACTCATTATATACATTTAGCATAATTGACACCATATTTAAGTACAAATTTATCAAAACATTAAAATGTTGTATTTGGGCCCTTTTGATCATTTGCCTACTGAGCCTTTGTAATACTATGAAAATAGAGTACATCTTTTTGTAAAATTATTTTCAAGGAAATACAATCAATGTTTGCAAACTACCCCTTTTGTACTCCTCTTGAATATCACATAAAATGGACTGCATGATTTTTAAATAAGTCTATAGCTCTAAAGTTCCTTAATTGTGCATTCCACTTATAAAATTAATGCACTGTCTTTCATAGGTTTTATGGAGATACCAAGGAAAGAAGCCAGACACGTTAGCAGCCAATACTCGGATCTATGACTGGATTCCCCAGAATGATCTTCTTGGTAAGATTGAGGGGGGAGGAGGAAAGCTGTACAATTGGATGATGAACAAGTAACTGAAAAAAGCTAAATTCAATCAACATTTAATAATTTAAAAATTTTACATTTTAGAATAGATATAACGAACCAATTGGCCATTGAGAAATACCCGCTTCCTCTGGTTCACAAAGGAGAATCTTCAGTTAAGACTCTCCTGAGTTCTCAAATTTCAAACTCATTTCATATATCACCTCCTTATAGTCTTTCCAGACAATGCAGAAGGAGTGAATTTGCCATTTCCCATGGTCACAGTTTCCTGAGATAGCAATAAATCCTGTGTTCAGCTTCTATAGAAAATACTGCCTTCTTCATTGATCTATCCTATAGTTTTTCTCTATCTTTCTCTGAAATTGTTTCATATAATGAAATCCTCATCTGCTTCTCACCCAACCATCAAACTAGGTCATCCCAAAACAAAAGCTTTTATCACTCATGGTGGAACAAATGGGATCTACGAAAGTATTTATCATGGGGTCCCTATGGTGGGAGTTCCCATGTTTGCTGATCAGCATGATAACATTGCTCACATGAAGGCCAAAGGAGCGGCTGTGGAGGTGAACATGCACACAATGACAAGTGCTGAGTTGCGTGATGCCTTGAAAACAGTCATTTATGAACCTTCGTAAGTACTATAGCCTTGAAAGGCTTACCATTGGTTACATTACCCATCGTATTCAAGAATGTCCAAGGTACCTTGCGTTTGTAATTGGTGTACTTTTAAATAATAGCCATAAGAGGACCAATATAAACACCATCTTATTATTTCATTTCCCAAATTGATGAAGTGATTTGCTAAAATTGTAAAAAATCCTCAGATTTCAAATGTCTTATCAATGTGTTTTGTTTTTTTAATGCTAATGATAAAAATTATCAGATATTTTGAGGCACCTGATGAGGAAATGAATCAGGAACCTTTAGGTACACAGGATGACACCCAAGCAACTAAACCACACCGGACAGGGTTCATCTGCTTACCTTTATAAATATATCAGGTTCTTTATATTATAGATGTTCAGTAAGTATAAAAATAGAAGTAACAATTTGCCAAATATTAATAACTCAAAAATAAACATCATTAACACTAAATGCATACCACCATTAGCATATACATATATACAGCAAGGAGAGATAGAATGCAAAATAACTTTGTAAATATAGATTCTATGAATTTTTAAACAAAACTAAATTTTACCTATTTAGCTAAAGATAAATTAAAATGAATCTATTACCTATATTTAACTGTACATGCATATATTTATATCTTAGGTTTTTTTCCTCTGAAAGATCTCATCAAAGTTAAGAGTTGATATATGTATATATAGTGTTGATTGTATTTTTTATTTTATTTATATTTGTGATAATTTTTAACTATGTGTTTTAAATTTAGTCACTCCCAGCTTAATTCCCACTCTGGAAGTAATCTCATCCCTGATATGTATTACTTAAAATTTTAAGTTGTCAATATTTTTGGTACTTACTTTCTTCACATTTATTTAATAATATATATATATATATTAAGGGAATCAAATTTTTCCCTTAATGAATGAGAGATCCTTTATTCCAAAGTATTTTGCATTAGCTTTTAAATGAATATATCATAAGAAATTTTCTTTCAATAAAGATTCATGGATATTGAACTCTTTGAGATCATGTTCATCAATACTTGCTCACTGCCTTGATATGAGCATCACACCTATCTGAATATACTTTGCTATTACTTTCCTTTCTTCAGAACTATGTTACCTACAGTCTTTAAATGCTGATATGAGTTTTAAGATCTAGCTGATAATTTTCTCTTTTTCTGTGTTTCTTTTCCAGCATGGAAAAATGTAATTAATTTTTTTAATTCAAAAACTTAATTATGATATTAATCTATAAATAATTTTCTACATTTTCTCTGGGTTATAATGATTCCTTTCAACATTCTTAATATAGAAAAACAAAATTTAATTTTTCCTTTCAGAAATTAATTTTTTTATGTTATTTACTGGAATTACTTTTAGTTCCATTTTTAATATCTATTTCAGGGACATCAGATTCCAATGTTCTTTAAGTTAAAGTATTTTCAGTTGTTTTCCATCTTTATTGTTTTCTAACTGTTCTAATCAATTTTTATTTCTCTGAAATTGCCTCAAATTGCCCATAAATTTGTATACTATTCACTTTTTCAACATGAGCATTGCTCACTGTTTCTAACTTCTCTTTTATGTGCTATGTTTAATGATAGTTCAACAGCTCGCCTATATTATTTATCACTTATTTTCATTTTATAATCTATTTTTGATTTCTTATTCATAACTCTTAAATTCTTATTACACGTTTATCTATTAGATATATGTGAATTTCAATATTAAATATCTATCTATAAATGGTAAGAAATTTGAATGATTTGAAAGGATAGGCTTTTATCACCACTGTAGATTATCTTAAATGTATTTAAACAAATGATGTGAAATTTCTGTTTTGACCCTACCTATATTTTAATTTAATTAAAATAGTAGATGATTATTCTTTCTCGTTGTGCACAAAAAAAAAGAACACAGTACCCCTTGCTGCTGGATCTACTATACCACATTCACTACTGAATGACAATGACCTCATTTCTCTTTTCCCAATCCCAACAGTGTCCTGCTTACACTATGGCATCTCTTCAAAAACCACTTACCTTCTGTCCTCTTCATGTTTCCAGAATCAAAGAGAATATACTAATTCTGTCTCAGCCACCAAATGTCAAGTGAAGACACAAACTTCTCACTCAACTACATGTCTACACCCTTTATTGTTTTAGGAGACCATTCAAGATATTAGCTCCATAACACTGATTACTGTGATTCCACAATAGCTAGGGGCTCAAATTCTAGTATGTTATTTTTATTTACCTTGAAAACTCAAATTCCATCTCCTTGCCATTTCTAAAATGACCCTAGTACCTTCATCCAATTTTGATATTGCCAATAGAGACTATTTCCCTTGCATCACAAACACTCAAGTATGTGCAGTGGAGGAATCTCAGACTCTGCAAAAATAACTAATTTATGTTCACTGACAATTTTTTGTTCCTGTCCTTATTAACTAGTCAGACATTAGGATTCATGCTTACAATTTTTAACAGATATTTTCCCACAATATGGGCTAGCCAGAGGAGTCATTAAAAAATCACACTTCAAACAATATTAAATTTCCCTCTTAAAAAAATGAGGCTTATTCCTTTTTTATATGTTTACATTTGACCAAATGTAAAACAATTTGCAATGTGTCAAAATTTTATTTCTTCTATACTCTCCCCTTTACAAATACCATTCAATCAGCAAAGTTCATGTCACCACAAGAATGAAATGTTTCCTCAACACATCTATGGATAACATGTTATGTAAAGGTATCATATACTTACAACCTCAATGAAAACAAAGCTCTAATTTCTGTCTGTCTTTGTCTACCAGTTATAAAGAGAATGCTATGAGGTTATCAAGAATTCACCACGATCAACCTGTAAAACCCTTGGATCGAGCGGTCTTCTGGATCGAGTTTGTCATGCGTCACAAAGGAGCCAAACACCTGCGGCCAGCTGCTCACAACCTCACCTGGTTCCAGTACCACTCTTTGGATGTGATTGGGTTCCTGCTGGCCTGTATGGCAACTGTTATATTTTTGGTCACAAAATGTTGTTTATTTTCTTGTCGAAAATTTGGTAGAACAGGAAAGAAGAAAAAGAGGGAGTAAACCATTCTAAGGGTGGTAAAGGTCTGAATGGGCAATGCTGTTCAGTTTAGCCACAATGACCTTCATGAAAACATATTATCTCCATCATGTCTTCAAATTGTTCATTCCTCTACCTTAGCTTACAGATAAAGCCTAGAATTTGACAATACTGTTATTAGTGAGCATATCCTGTTCTTCTTTTGTCTTTTGCCAGATGACTTTAACCTCTTTCTCTCACTTTCCTAATATAGGGACACTAATAGTTTTATACAGAATCTATACAAAATATTATTTTTATTTTTCGAACCGAAATGGTATGCTGACTAACAATATGCTAAATCCTGGGGAACACACAAAATGAGAGCTAAATATGATGGATGTAGGAAACACAGAATAACAAAATTCATTTATAACATACAAATCAGGGAAACATCATAGAAGATTAGTATATTATAAGAATAGTATTGATTTTTTTTCCTGCTTTCCCAATGTTACTGGAGTCAGAGCATGAAATGATAATAGCTGGAATGGCACAGGCACTAAGATAGTTCTATGACTTTTCACTGAACACATGAATAATCATGGCTCATATTCCACCTTTAGTCAATAAGTATATTGGGTACCTTCTAGTACAAGGGCCTCAAAAAGATCAATTAGTCATATTTTCTCAAGGTCAGTATGTAGCAATATATTAAAGGTAAGCAGATCACTTTTAGAGGGAATAACAATACTAAGTATGGATAATTTAGTAATTTTATAAAATGTTTAATTAACAGTATAACTAATAAAGAAGTCAAATGTCAATTTATTATATTTAAAAATCACTAATGCTCATAATCTACTAGTATAATCACTATAACCAAAGGTTTAATTTTCTCAACAAAACAAACATTTACTTGGAATGTAAGATCATTATATTATGTTTTAGTCTCAATCATCTGCAAATTTAAATTCATCAATTAATTGTTATGCCAAGAAGATATTAGAAGATCTCATTGAACAAAAATGTTATAGTAGATAGTTATCAATGCAAAAACTAATTAAGGCAAATGTTCATATTTGAATTGACTTTGCATTCATTTAACAAATAGATTAAAGATTGAACTTTCTTTACCCTTTATAAACTTAGAGACCTGGTACTTGAAATGTGTACATGTGGGGAGGTGGGGAGGGTAGAAAGTCCCCTCAGCCCAGCCTGCACCCTGGGACTCCTCTCACAATCCAGGACTGCTGGCTCCTAACTGCTTACCTGTCTGCCTGCCTCATTGGCCCTCACTGTCCCCCCTGCTAGCCTGATTGCCCCTAACGGGCCCCCCCCACTGGCCTGGTCATCTCTTACTTCCCTCTCTGCCATCCTGGTCACCCAAAAATGCCCCCCCTCTGCCGTCCTTGTTGCCCCAACTCCCCCCTGCCATCCTGGTCGCCCCACACAGCCTGCTGTTCAGTCGTTTGGTCATCCCTCATTAACCCCCCTGTTGGCTTTGTTGTTCCACACAGCCTGCTGTTCAGTTGTTACTGTGAGGGCATCCTGACCAATTTGCATATTCCCCTTTTATTAGTATAGATTACATGTATAACTAAAGATTTAATTTCAGTGTTTGATAATATAGTGAAGGAGATAAATGACATCCACTGGCCTACTGATAATTTTGAAATACTTGTTCATTTTAACATGGTATATTAAAAATTACTTTCAATTTAAAAATAACTGTATCATGAAAGCATGTAAGTATTCTTGAATATGTTCACTACTGAAAATCCAAATAAATTCTACAATATTTTTGTGAAGGCTAAAATTGCATTTATTATAAGTTGACATTTTTAAAGGTGATTCATATTGATGTATTTTGACTTTATGTTTTGAGAATAACTTTATTTTTGCTCTATGCCCAGTTTATTTCCTGTAATTAGAATGCAGTGGATAGCTAAGAAGCAATGAGAAGAGGGCTGGTCATCCATAGTGCTGAGCTCTACCCAAGTTCAGGCATCTGCTTGGTTTCTGATACAGTCCACCATTGCATGGGAGACTTGCCTGTACTCAATATCCACTGCTCATATGATTCCCTGTCTCTCTTCTCTGATTATCTGAAGATTTTTTTCTTTTCCTGAATAGCATCAGAAGCCAGCTGTCAAAAATTCCTGGATGATACCAACTTCATTAGTTAGTATAACCTCAGCACATAATTAAAAAGAAGAAAAGAACTTTTCCATACCAGTCATTCATAAGAATGTTCAGATGAGGAAACTCTCATCCCTAATAAAGCAGAAACCATGTGCCATATACCAGAGTACTCTGCACAATTCTTAACATTCTCAGTACTCAAAGGTGCTTTAACTTATTTTGTTCATATACACTCCATGTGTTCCTTATCCACTGGCAGCATCTTCTTTGGTCAGGGTACTTTACTTGACAAGATGATCCAAATCTTCATCCATTTTAAATCAATGTGATAATATATTCTGTCTGAATGATTTGTCAGAACTTTACATTAACCTCTATATTGGACATCAGAATATTAAGTAACAATGTACTGCATATGGAGACATAATTTTGCCTACATTTTATCATGTGTCAGCGGCCTAGTTTATCCTTGGTATTTTAGATAAATCACCACAACAGAAAAGCTCAAAATAATCAAGAAACATTCAAATGTCCTAATCTAAGTAAATCATGGCCATGTCTATTGGTGGAATAATTTCTCTTGAAAAATGCAACTTCCAAACTGCCTGACTCCAAGTTGTAATAAAAAATAGAATAAAAAAATTGTCTATGGGGAATGGTGAAGCATACTTGTTAGGGAGCCCATTCTCTTTCAATCCCTTGAACCCATGTATTCAAACTAAAGTACCAAAGGCATCTTATATTAGGCCATGACTTCAAGCATACACTGAATCCTATGATATAGCACTTAAAATACATAGGGGATTATCTCAGCTAAAACCCTGAACAGTTTTCATTAGCTAATGGGGATAATAGCAAATTGTATAGATATTAGATTTTGTTCATTTCTTTGACTAAAAATATGTTTCTTGGTCATGTTGCTATCAATACTAAGATTGTTACTAAGACTTCATACCCATGGTTTATGAGGTTGGCAAAAGTACTACATGACAGTGGGGGTTATTTGTTATTTAAAATTTAAATTCTTCTATGGAGATAATGGATGCATCTTCTAGAATGGAAGGAGACTAATACAATCTTCTACCTGTTGGCTAGCTTGAAACCTAGGGAGTAGTGCCTAGGTTTCAAGTAGTCAAATACATCCTTGTGAGGTGAATTCAATGTTGTGCACTCATGTATAGTTTCTATCCCATTGTCCATTGCTCAATGGGATATGTTTTATGACCAAATTCTGGAAGGTGAAAAAAACAGTGTCATATACAGGATTACTGATCCAGAACACCATATTATTTAAGAAGGTTGTCTGCAGCACTTGGATTCTAGAGGAAATTCCCATTGGATACTAAGATCTTCATAATCTATGCAAATTTCAAAAAAGGTTTGTCTATATAATTCTACTCTAATTTTTTTAGTCTTTAATCTTGCTTCTAATTCTTCCCAAATCTTTGACCAACCAATTAATCCATTGGTCACTGCCCACAAAGTCTGTAGATTTGTAAAGCAAGCCATTCTTCTTATAATTCTGTCAATGTTTATTTTCTATAGCTTAAGGTAGTAATTGCTTCATTTACATAAGATTTTATAACTTTCAAATGAATGAAAAATTTCACTTTTTCATTAACATTTTCAGCTAAAGTCAATTCTTTTCTTTTTCTTTCTTTTTTTTAGAAAACAGCAATATTTAATGTTTCAAATGCAAATGTTAGATAAAACTATCAAATAAAACTATCCTATCTAATAAAATGATAATATGCAAATTAACCATCACTCCATCACAAAGGTGGTGGTGCCCATAGCCACAAGGTGGTGGTGCCCAGTCCTCTCAGCCCCACTGGAGTCCCTCAGTCCTGGGCGGGGGGAGGGAGGGATGGCCACTGAGAGTGGTCAACATGAGCAGCCTGGCAGAATGCTTGCTTTATCACCAGGGTGATGAGGCAAGTGTTCCACACCAGGCTGAGTGGCTCTCTGGGCTGCAGAGAGCCTCTGGGCAGTGGGTGCTGAGTGGCCAAGCCACACAGAGAGCTATTGGTGCATGAATTCGTGTGCGGGGCTACTAGTAAATTTATAAAAGTGAAAACCAAAAAGGCCTTGACCTTTCTGATGTAAAACACTAATCACTGCTGACCCCAGGATAGTCTGAGGCTACACCCCTCTCCCCCATTGCTCCTAGAATGTAGTGCCTGTATTCAGGGACTTGCTCAGCCTCTGGCAGTGGGCTTCTTGTTGCAGAAGCTGAGTGCCAGAGACAAGAAGCAAGAGGGCCATGGTGAGGTTGTGAGGTCAGGGAATCAGAAGCAGTGCAGCAGGCCTCGCCCTTCTGGAGTCTACATTCTAGGTAGCATATATAGAAAGGGCCTGACCTGGTTGGCAGTAGTCAGGGGTGGTCCCCTGCCAGGGCCAGCCTGACAGGTTGAACTGGGTTGAGGTAGGGAGGAAGGAATTGAGAAAAGAAAGAAATACAGGAAAGTGGGGCCTGGAGGACTACAGGTAGCCATCGACCGACTGCAGTAGGTTTATTAACTGCGCAATGCTTTTTAAAAATATATTTTATTGACTTTTTACAGAGAGGAAGAGAGAGAGACAGAGAGTTAGAAACATCGATGAGAGAGAATCATCGACCAGCTGCCTCTTGCACACCCACTACTGGGGATGTGCCCGCAACCAAGGTACATGCCCTTGACTGGAATCGAACCTGGGACCTTTCAGTCCACAGGCCAACGCTCTATCCACTGAGCCAAACCGGTTTTGGCTATGCAATGCTTTTTATACACAAAACACTGAATAGGAGGTCTGTCAAGAGGAATGTATTCTTTGTTCCTCTTAATCTCTAAGGGAGAGACAGAGAAGAAGGACAAATTCTTGATACAGCAAATCTTAGTAAATGGTTACAGATTTCTTGGTAAGCCATGAAAGATTGCTCTCATTCTACTGATAGTAGCCATTCAAACAAGTCTGGGAAAACTGTGTGGGTAGGGAGCCAACCCTGCTAGCCCCCTCAAATGCAAGGACCTTGTCAGCTTACACCCTGTCTCCAACAGTTCTCTGGTGAATGAGCCTGAGTAGGGGAGGTGGCAACTTGTATATATTAATATATCAGGGCAGAACAGGGGAAGGGCAGTCAAGGTAAGTGGCCCCCAAGAGCTGCTCGCAATGTATCAATAGGAACTGCAAGGCTGGGAAAGTCAGACCTCCTGCCCCAGAATCTTTGCACTTGGTCTGGAAAGCTTTTCTCCAAGTGGCCACATATCTGTCCTTTCCTCCTCCAATTCTTTACTTCAGACTCCCTCCTCAGCAAAATGTTCTTTTTGTGGCCCCTTTCTTCACCCAAAATTCCATTTCAGTCATGATAGGTCCTACTAACATGTCACTCCAAGAAGGCAAGAATATTGGGGACTATCTTTTCACTTCCAAAGCTCCAGCTATCTTCCCAGGGCCTGGCACACAGCAGATGCTTAATACATGCTTCCTCAGAAATTCTGCCACTCAGGTTGTCCCTACAGACTTTATCAGCAATACCTACCCGTCCATCTTCGATGCTAAAGCAGACATCACGCTCAACGACAAGTTTGTGAAGCTGCAGGTGCACAAGGGCCAGGCACCTACACTCAGCTGCCTTTCCCCAAGGGGAGATGGGCCAGTGAAGGCTCCAGCGGCTGGGCAAATTATTCTCTAATATCAATATAACAACATCTGCATCCTTTGTGAAGAAATACATGATGTATGGAGTCAGATGAGCACCAAAATTATAGGGTGATCATGTCATAAATTCTATAAATTTTTAATCACTATTTTGCAAATCTTTAATATACTGTATGTGAAAAGTCTCCTTTTCAGATAGTCTTCAGTTAGTAATTTAGGGGCATGGCTTCTCAGTTTAGTGCTATTTCCAGTTTGGATCTGAGAGCAGGTGTGAGAAAGACCCACCTACTCCATCACCATCTT